ATATGTATATATATATATATATATATATATATATATACACACACACACACATTGTGAATGATAGATTGTGAACCCTTTAGAATTTTCAATATTTCAGCATAAATAGGAGTTAAATCATCATCAGATTTTCACACAAGTCCTAAAAGTAGATAAAAAGAACCCAGTTAAACAAATGAGATAAAAATATTATACTTTGTCATTCATTTATTGAGGAATATGATCCAATATTATATTTTAGTGAGTTGAAAAAGTTGATGCTCCTCAGGCTGGAAAATGTTACAAAACTATATCAAGAGTTTGTACTCCATCAATCCACAGTCACACAGATTGTGTACAAATGGAGGAAATTCAATACCATTGTTCCCCTCCCCAGGAGTTTTTAACCAACAAAGATCACTCCAAGAACAAGGCGTGGGATAGTCTGCGAGGTCACAAAGGACCCCAGAGCAACTTCTAAGCAACTGAAGGCCTCTCTCACATTGACTGATGTTAATGTTCATGAGTCCAACATCAGGAGAACACTGAACAACAATGGTGTGCATGGTAGGGTTGAAGGAGAAGACACTGCTCTCCAAAAAGAGCATTGCTGCTTGTCTGCAGTTTGCCAAAGCTCACATGGACAAGCCAGAAGGCTGTCCGAAGAATGTTTTGTGGACAGAATAGACCAAGATAGAAATTTTTGGTTTAAATTAAAAGTGTTACATTTGGAGAAATGAAAACTCGGCATTCCTACATAAGAACCTTATCTTGTCTGTGAAACATGGTGGTGGTAGTATCATGATCGGGGCCTGTTCTGCCGCATCTGGGCCAGGACAGCTTGCCATCATTGATGGAACAATGAATTCTAAATTATAATAGAGGATTTTAAAATAAAATGTCAGTACATCTGTCCATGAACTGAATCTCAAGGGAAGGTGGGTCGTGCAACAAGACAATGACCATCAGCACACGAGTTGTTCTACCAAAAAATGGTTCAAGAAGAATAAAGTTCATGTTTTGGAATGGCCAAGTCAAAGTCCTGACCATAATCCAATCATTATGTTGTGGAAGGACCTGAAGCAGCAGTTAATGCGAGGAAACCACCAGCATCCAGAGATGAAGCTGCTTTGTACGGAGGAATGGGCTAAAATATCTCCAAGGTGCGCAGGACTGATCAACAGTTACCAGAAACGTTTAGTTGCAGTTATTGCTGCATTGGTGGTGGTGGTGGGGGTGGGGGTGTCACACCAGATACCGAAAGCAAAAGGTTCACATACTTTTGCTTCTCACAAATATGCAATATTGGATCATTTCCCTCAATGAATAAATGACCAACTATAATAAGTTTGGATTTTGTTTAACTGGGTTCTCTTTATCTACTTTTAGGACTTGTGTGAAAATCCTATTTATATTTGTACTGAGAAAAATTGAGCATGCATTTTTCACCAATACATATTTTATCAGTGTTTTGGGCAACTGACGATGTCAAAATAAAGTTAAAGTTAAAACAATCTCCTTAAATTTTTTAAAAAAAATTAAAGTTAAATCATCATTCAATTCCAACCTAAAAAAAATAGTTTTTATACTCACAGCCGATGATCAGACTTTCATGAAGCATTCGTCTGGCTTAAAAATGAACTGACGTGCTGCTTCAAGTTTTTCACATTTCCTCAACAGAGACAAACTGTGAGCTGCAGCGTCACTTCCACATTTAAGTAGATGTGCTTTAATTTTGAGTGAATCAACTAAAGGAAAATGTCTCAAACTAAAACTGAAAATCTGACAAAATTGAGAAATTGCCTGAACCGAGTGGTAACACTCAATAATTCAAAACCAGAACTTTAGATGTTTATCGTATCTGCATTAGACACTATCTCTCAATAGTTTCAATAGAAATGAGTGGTGACACTTTAATTACAGTGTTAGGATATATTGTCTTGCCTAAAGGGGTCACTGCTGTAGGTAAAAGCATGCACTGTGTTTGGTCAGTAAAAATGTTTAGACTCTTTACACCAGTTTTGAACCAAGACCCAGATTACTGCAAATTATTACAAGGGTACACCCATCCCTGAGGGATTTGAAAAGTGAATGATTGTAGGTTTTGTAGATGGGCGCTTTTCTGAACTGAAATTGAAGAAGCAATGCAAGTAAACCCTAAGAGGAGTTCCACCATGTATAAAAACAGAAGTTTTTTTCTAGTCCGAGGCAGCACAGAGTGACAGATACTGGCCACTCGTGAACAAGAAATCCAGATACTTAAACTCCTGCACTCGAGGCAAAAACTACCCCCCCCAAAACAGAGTGGCCATTCCAACCGCTTTACAAAAACTGCAAAAATAAAATGCTGAGCTACCTTTACGTGACTTTGCAGTTGCTTTGTCATGATTGTGTGTCTGTGCTGCTTATTCACATGCTGCATTTTTTTTATGCATTTATTCTTTTCTAATTTTAGTCATTAAAAATAGTCTATAACACATGCACCCGTTCGAACTCAGAACGGAACAGTTTTAGAATGAAGTGTGAATTGTTCACCGGTGACTGAAACGTAAACCGCTGCCGTTATAATGAAGAAACGAGAAAAGCAGCGTGTTAATTTAGCATCTGTTCAGCCACACTTCTGTGATGCACAAGTACACTCAGTCCAGAAATAATCTGAGTTTCTCACTTTGTTGCTGTAGTTAGAATGCAAACACTGACTGCATTCTTCAAATAAATACATACTGTGCATCCATCCATTTGTATGGAGTTGGTCTCCATCTCCAGCTGTTGCTGTGCATAAAGTGAGATTAAACCCAGGACAGGTCACAAGTCCACCTCAGAAAATAAATAACCGTGCTGCTCAAATCCTTCTTCTTCACACAACAGTAAGGATCACATTCTTGTACTCGCGAGGCAAAGTTGGCAGTAAAAACCCTCGAAAGTCCAGATTTGCTTTTTCAAGCAACTCCAGGTAACCGTTGCACCTATGATCACTTCACTGACCTGTAAATTACACACTTGATGAAACGAACAGAATATTTTTTATGTATTTATTGAGGCCTCAGACCTGATGGAGAACCTGTGAAGTAGCTTTATTGAACAACAGGGGAAAATCTCCATACCATAATATGTCCACATTTCAACAAGCATATATAAACAAAATAAACAAATAAAGATATACAGGTTTAATACGTTTGAGTAAAACAACGCTGCCAGAAGACGTTTGAGAAAAATATAACAAATATCCAGGAAACTCGAAAATATAATGAAAGTAGTTTAAAATATGAAATTGTTTTTACATTAATTGTGTCTGGTTTTGGAAAGGTGAAGCTCTCAATTTACCGATCGATCTACGTTCCCACCCTCATCTATGGTCACGAGCTTTGGGTTGTGACCGAAAGAACGAGATCTCGGATACAAGCGGCCGAAATGAGTTTTCTCCGCAGGGTGTCTGGGCTCTCCCTTAGAGATAGGGTGAGAAGCTCGGTCATCCAGGAGGGACTCAGAGTAGAGCCGCTGCTTCTCCACGTTGAGAGGAGCCAGTTGAGGTGGCTCGGCATCTGGTTAGGATGCCTCCTGGACACCTCCCTGGTGAGGTGTTCCAGACACGTCCCACCGGGAGGAGGCCCAGAGGAAGACCCAGGACACGCTGGAGGGACTATGTTTCTTAGCTGGCCTGTGAACACCTCGGGATTCCCCCGGAGGAGCTGGACCAAGTGGCTGGGGAGAGGGAAGTCTGGGCCTCCCTTCTTAGGCTGCTACCCCCGCGACCCGACCCCAGATAAGTGGAAGAAAATGGATGGATGGATGGTGTCTGGTTTTAAAATTCAGTTTTTAAAACTATAAACATTTTTGTTCCTGGTAACCTCACAGTTCTGCTCCTTTCCTCAGCGACCTGTTGGTCCGGTCAGCAGGTCTGTGTCCTCAGTCAGAGCGTCTCCTGTCTGCAGAGCTCTCTGGACGTTCTGCCAGAAGACTCCTGGGTGTTGTCCAGCCTGAGGCCAGCTCAGGTAGGTGCGTTTCTTTACCAGCTTCCTCATGCGGTAGTATGGAGACAGATGATGAGGAGGGATCTCCTCCAGAAACAGCAGGATCAACACATCCTTCTGTTCATCAAACAGGCGAAAGCTGCAAGAAGGACAGTGGAATGAAAAACTCTATTTGAAATACAGCTTGATGATCCAGTGCAACTCACTGTAACCTACTTAGTCTAATTAAGATAAAGTACATTTATTAACTAGTAATACATATGGACAATTATGAATAACAAAAGTGCAGATGTTCTAATTTTTTCTGTTGTTACTAAAAAGCATTGAGCAATAAGAAGTGGGACAAGCCTGGACGTTGTGTTGTGCAGTTAACCTTAAAAAACATCATAATAGTACCCCCACCTGGCCATCTGGATCTCTCTGGAGCACCATTCACTCTGCAGGTAGTGGCGGCTGATCACACAGATGGTCTTCCTGCTGCCATAAATAGCATCAGTGATGTTCTCCATGATGGGTTTACCTGTGGACACAACAGGTGTGGTGTTTCAGCTGTGTTTTGTAAATGTACTGTTGATGGAATGTGTATATATGTAGATACCGTGCTCTGTTATTTTACTGTATCAATATAGAACAAGACCAAGGGGAGGGCCAGGCCCCTGATGAGTTCTCTACAAAACTAACCTTAGTTCATGAAGTCAGAATGGGTCAGAACCTCAGACAGCCTTTATAAGTGTGCACTTGTAATTACATTGATCTTGTGTGATTGCTGCAGTTTTCAAAAGCTTTGCAATAAATATGAAGAAATCTACGCCTGATCGTTTGGGAATCTCTTTTTTTCCACGACTTTCTGTGTTCCGATAAAAACGAGAAAAGTGGAAAACTTAACCAAAGTGAATTTGTCAATTTACCATTTTACTCTGAAACACTGATAAGTAGTTGGTCAGAAAAAAACAAAAAACAAAAAAAAAACAACAATTAGAAACACTTTAACAATTTTAGCAGCGTGGACCCATTTGCACTGGTTCATAAACACCTGAGAAATCTAATGTACCATGTGAGTTTTTGTCTTTTTGATTAGCTAATCGTGAATCAAAGCTGTTTTTTTTATTGTTTGTTTGTTTGTTTTAGGGTTCTAACCTGTTCTAATAATAGTAGAGGTGGGCAGTGCCTCTGTGAGTCACCATGGCAACCCAGTGACTCAGCAGATTCAACCTTAATTGGCTTCTATATTAAACCGCAAGCTTTTTCTTTCTTTTCATTTTTTATCAAGGCACATCTTGTGACTCACTTGATAGATTTTATTGAAAATTACTCCAAATTTGTATCTACAACTGACAAGCAGAGTCAAGATGGCTGCACAATTCAAGATGGCAACCACAGCTACCTCAGGTGACACAAAAATGTTTACAACTCAGTCAATTTTACAGATATTGAGCAACACTAATGAAACAAGTGAAGTTGGATGCCAGTGCTAAATTAGAAAATGTCTACATCTGTGAAGATTAGTGTGTTTTCGTTTTATTAGTTTTTTTTTCTTTCTTAAACTCTGTGCCATATCTGACCCAGATTGGACTAAGTTAACTATTTATTCACCCTCAGTCAGCTTCCTCAGTGTTTCTGCAGTTGGTCTGCGACTCACACCTGCCCCTACTTAATAATCACCCAGGTGCCTCCACTTTCCTAATTGCCTATGTCATTTATTATCAGTCAATGTATCACTACTCACCAGTTTAGCATTACTTATTGTCCAGGTAAAACCTATAACTTCTCCCTAAACGTCTTTGAGTTTTTTGTTATTTGTGTTGCCATGCCATTATTTTGCTTTGTTAGTTTATAAGTTTGTTTTATCAAGATCATCATGTTCAATCTGCATTTTGGGGTTCAAGCCATATATGACCAACTGACAATCACCCAGTCAGTTTGGTGGGGTAGTAGCTGACAGTAACCCCAAACACATATTATGAGTACTTTACAGATAACTGAGTTTCTTCACTGCATATTTGTGTGCATATTTCTGTGTACCTCCTTACTATTTATTCACAACTTACTGCATATTTTATTCATGCTGACAGTAAATCTGGATGTAGAATATGATTTCTGTATACCTTTCATAAAAGCCTTGACTGATCAAAGAGAGAGAGTCAAAGAGATTTGTCATTTGCATCTCTTGTGGTGGAGGAACGAAATTATGTACACAGGGTCCCAGTTACATTCAACAATAAAATGTAAAAGAAAAACTAATAAAATCTAAGATATGAACTAAGAAAAACATCAGCTAAATCATACACTAAGCACTAATAGCATAAAAACATTACGTCGAACAGCAGCACAAACATGAGTCTGTGTGAGCAGATGTGCACGCATGAACACATCAACATGAAACAGATCAGCAGCAACATGAAACAGATCAGCAGCAACATGATGTGATTTGTCACAGTGATTATTCTGGTTAGAGATTCATGAATCTAACAGCCTCAAGGTAGAAGCTGTTCCTCAGTCTAGTGGTTCTACACTTAATGCTCCTTAACCTCCTTCCTGAGGGGAGCCGGGCAAAAAGTGTGTGTGCTGGGTGAGTGGGGTCCTTCATGATGCAAGTGGCCCTCTTCCTGCATCTGGAGGTGTAGATGTCTGTGATGGTGGGGAGACTGACTCCAACAGTCTTCTGTGCAGCCTTCACCACTCTCTGCAAAGCTTTTTTTTTCTGCAGCTGTGCAGCCTCCATGACACACATTGATGCTGGAGCACAGGATGCTCTCCACTGCACACCTGTAGAAGGAGGTGAGGACTGAGCTTCCCAGACCAGCTCGTCTCATCCGCCTGAGGAAGTAGAGTCTCTGATGAGCTTTCTTAATCAGGCTGGTGGTGTTGTTGCTCCAGCTGAGGTTGCCATTCAGGTGTACACCCCAGTACTTGTAGCTGGAGACCACTTCCACTGCAGATCATTTTATGTTCAGGGGGTGTAGGTGAGTTTGTTCCTTCTGAAGTCCACAATCATCTCCTTTGTCTTCTTCACATTGATGTGAAGGTTATTCTCTTTGCACCAGCTCTCCAGGTGTTCCACCTCTTGCCTGTAGCTGGACATCATTGTTTGTGATGCATCCCACCACTGCTGTATCATCTGCAAACTTTACAATATGACAGTCTGGATGGGTAGCTGCACAATCATACGTGAGCAGAGTAAACAGGAGAGAGCTCAGCATATATCCCTGAGGAGAGCCTGTGCTGAGGATTATGATGGAAGAAGAGAAGTTGTGGATCCTCACTGACTGTGGTCTGTTCAAGCAGCCTACTATCCAGTTGCAAATGGAGGGGCTTAGTCCTAGTGTGAGTAGTTTGTCCATCAGGGTTTGGGGGATCATGGTGTTGAAGGCAGACGTGAAGTTCACAAAGAGCATATGGATGTAAGAGTTCTTCTGCTCCAGGTGGGTGAGAGCAGTGTGGACCACAGAGGAGATGGCATCCTCTGTTGATCGGTTCTCATGGTTTGCATACTGATAAGGGTCCTCGATGATGTTGATGGTTGTTTTGATGTGGGTCATGACCAGTTTTTCGAAGCATTTAGCGACTATCGGGGTGAGGGCCACTGGCCGATAGTCATTCAGACCAGACTACTGGCTTTATGATTAAAAATTCAGGATTTACTATTTTAAGATCCATTTTTTTAGACTTGTTGAACTCCATTTGGACACTTTGAAATGTGTATGGGCATATTCATGCTGCAACCTGATATATTTTCCACTCCATCTCTCCATATGCAGCAACATAAAAACATTATTAAACATTTTTAGATGAGAAAAATATCCATGATTTTTGTGTGTTTCAACTTCTTATTCTTTCTTCTTCTTTTGGCTTTTCATTCTTCAGGGGTCGCCAAAGTGAGTCATCCTCCTCCATCTCACTCTGTCCTCTGCATTGTCTGTCCTCACTCCAACTACCTCCATGCCCTCTTGAACTGCATCCATGTATGTAATCTTTGGCCTTCCTCTTTGTCTTTATCCTGGCATCTGCATTTCTCACATTCTTCTTCCAGTATACCCACTGTCCCTCCTCTGGACATGTCCAAACCAGCTCAGTCTGGCCGCTCTAACTTTATCTTCTAGTTGTTCAACCTCTGCTGTACCTATGATGATCTCATTCCAAATCTTATATATCCTTGTCACTCCTAAGGAGTACCTCAACATCTTAATTTGTGCTACTTCAATTTCTTTCTCCTGTCTTTTTCTCAATGTCACTGTCTCCAGACCATACAACATAGCTGGTCTCATCACTGTCTTGTAAACTTTTCCTTTGACCATTGCTGACATGTTATTGTCACAAATCAGTCCTGAAACTTTTCTCCATCCACTCCATCCTGCCTGGTCTCTCTTTTTCACCTCTTTACCACACTCCCCATTTTCCTGGACAGTGGACACCAAGTTCCCTCACATTCACACACATGTACTCTGTCTTACTACAGCTGACTTTCATTCCTCTTCTTTCAAGTGCCTACCTCCACATTTCCATTTTCTCTTCCACCTGATCCCTGTTCTCACCACAGATCACATTGTCATCTGCAAACATCATAGTCCACAGGGATTCCTGCCTGGCTTCATCTGTTAGTCGATCCATCACCAGAGCAAACAAGAAGGGGCTCAGAGCCGATCCTTGATGCAATTCCACCTCCATCTAGAAGCAATCTGTCACTCCTACTGTCACGTTCGGGTTTTGGATTCAGAATAAGCCAGACAAGAGTACAAAAGAACAGTTTTTATTATTTAGCTGCTGGATGGAAGAGGCAGGATCAGCTGAGTTAACAGGTCCTCACAGGTTGGAGGGAGAGAGCACCTGTCAGCGTGGCAACAATGACGTCCCTGTCGGAGCAGCTGTAGTACGTGGTTCATGACGAGAAAGTACAAGAGCGAGGTCCAGATATCGAAAGGGGTCATTCACAGGGAAGCAGAGAGCAGAAGCCAGAGCCAAGTCATGATCCATAGGTGTAGTCATAAAAGGCAGAAGGCAGAGTCTTTACCGTAATCAGAGGGTGCACTCAAAAATCTGAATGGGGCAGGTAAGGCAAGAAATCTGAGAAGCAGGTGTGAATTCAAAACAAGGCAAGGAACAGGAATGGTTTGGTATTAAAGGACCATGAAATGTATAATAATTTGGCCAGTTCTTTCCAAGAAAAGAACTGGGTGGGTGGAAGGGGTCTTGTAGGAGGTCAAGAGGCAGGTTGTTGTCCAGAAGGGCCATCCAGAGCTGTTTCAGGGCTCAGGTGGGTGGGCAGGAGGCTGCCCGGAGAGTGGCGATGTCATGGGTGAATGGCCGGGTGACCATCTAATACATAGCAATGGCGTCAGATCTGCAGCAGGTGATACATGAGGCATGGGGGTCAGATCTGCAGCAAGTGTGGGGGTCAGAGCTGCAGCAGGCGTGGAGGTCAGGCATTTTCTCACCCTCATATGCCATTGAATATTTGAGTCAAAAACCTCACTGCCATCTCTCCAAGACATTTCCAAACTTCCGGTATGTCATCAGGTCCTACTACCTTCCCCTTCTTCATTCTTTTCAGAGCTTTCTGGACTTCACCCTCACTAATATTTCTCACTTCCTGGTCCACAGTTTCTATGACCTCTACTCTTCTTTCTCTTTCATTCTCTTCATTCACTAACTCCTCAAATTATTCCTTCCATCTTACAATCACACTCTCCTCACTTGTTAGAACATTACAATTAATGTCTGTAACAAGACTAACCTGCTTCACATCTTTTCCAGCCTGATCCATCTGTCTCACCAATCGGTACAAGTCGCTCCTATATCATGTGTGTTTCAACTTCAGTAACTACATACTCATTACAGTTACAATATGGATAACAAAAAAATCAGTGTTACCTTTACAGAGAGACCAAGCATTTGAACTAACTCCAAACAGTTCAAGAACAGCATTTAATTTAATTTGGGTATGCTTATTTCAAGCTTTTTCGGCATTTTGAGATTTGACACATAACAGATACATCTTTTTGAAAGACTGCACTTAATTTTATTGTACTTGTTACAATGACAAAAATATAGTATGATTATTCTGTATTTTCATATGCAAAACGTTAATAATAAATCACAGTTTTAATGTTTTTGTAATTAAATGGAAGTAAAAGTAAAAACATGCTTCGTTCACCTGGTTGGAAGTCTCTGTGGTGCAGACAGAGTCTCCAGCCCTGCTCTCCCTCCAGAACTGGAAGCATCTCTCTGTAAACCCAGTCCTCATCATGGACGTTGTAGGACACAAAGGCATCAAACTGATGAGGATCTCCCTTCTTCCTCATCTTGCTGTCGTAAAGAAAGGCCAGGAAGAGGTGGAATGTGTAGGCTAGCTGCCACTTCAGGAAGTGGTAGATGAAGGAGGTGAGGAGAGTCAGAACAACCAGACAAGAGCTGGAGATGAAGTAAAAGAAGCTGCCATCGTTCCAACAGGACTTTATATTAAAGTCTAGTAACAAGGTTCCTCGTCTGTCTACAGGAAATAAACATTTGTACTGATGAGCGTTTACGACCTGGGTTTGTTTGTTACGTCCTATCCATTGGATGAAACCTGCATTTGAACATTCACAGGTGAACGGGTTGTCGCTCAGGTCCAGGTATGTTAGAGAGGGGAGAGAATTCAGGGCAGCCATGTTGATCACAGTGACCTCACTGTCCCTCAGATTCAGATATCTGAGTGCAGAAAGATTGGCTTGCACTAGAAAATCCAAAGACTTGAGTTTCGACTCTGAAAGATCAAGAATCTCCAGGTTTGGTAGTGGTTGAAATAATTTAGGTTCTAAATATTTTATAACTGTCTTTGTTATTTTCAGACTCCTGAGCTTAGGGTTGAACTGAAATGTGTCCACATTTACAGTTTCACTAAACATATTTTCAGCTGTAAATGTCTCTAAATGTTTCATATCTTCCAGTATATTATATTTTCCATGTGGCGTGAAATAGATATTTATGTTCCAAATCATTGTAAGACGTTTTAGAGAATTTAGGGAAAATAAGTTTTTATAAATGTTAGATTGACACATTTTCAAAGAAATACTACTTCGAAAGTATATTGTAAGACTTTCCAGGTTTTGTAAAACACTGAGATTAACTTCAGACTTAGGTGCCAGTAATGCATTATCAGATTTCATGTTTTCCAGTCCATTAAATATTTTGTTTGTCTTTCCAACGTGAAATTCTACATTTAACTGTTTCAGAGACCTTAAACCTTCAAAACCATCTGGCGTAAAAGTTTTTATAGAATTATGGTTCATATCCAAAACCTCGAGCTGTTGTAGGGAAATCATAAACCTGTCTCCAAACCTCGGCAGCAGATTGTTACTCAGATCTAAACGCCTCAGATCAGGAAGATTTTCAAAGACACATCTATCCAGATTTGTAATTTTGTTACGGTTCAGAGAAAGCTCTCTAAGATGTTTTGTGTTCATAAAATCTTCACAGCTCAATGCAGAGATGAGATTGTTTTCCATTTTCAAGATCTCAAGGAAGCTCAGAGTTTTTATGTCATATGGAACTTTGGTGAGTTGATTTTGAGTCACATCCAAGAAACGCAGTTTCTTCATTGATTGAATTGAACCTTTTGGCAGCTCAGATATCAACGTAAAGGACAGGCGAAGTTCTGTCAGCTGAGAACACGGTGTAAGTTCAAAAGTTAAATAGTTAAGTCTGCGGTCAAACAAATCCAGCCTCTGTAGTGTTGCTATTTTGCAGACTGTAGAGAACAGACCTCTCTTAATTCGCATGGTTAAATTATTTAGAAACAGATATCTCAGTGAGCTGAAACTCTGCAGGACTTTTTGGATCTCTTCGAGGGAAAACTTAAGACCTTCAACAGAAACTTTGGTTATGTTTTCCAATAATGTTTTGTCAGGTATGTCCCAGTTCAAGGTAATGTTATTATCTGTACATGTTGAAAGATCTAAATTCTGCAGGTAAGGAAATATTAGTGTTGCAATGCTGAACCTGTTGAGGTCGTAACCAGAAACACTCAGGTTTTTCAGACTTGAGGAGTGATTTAACTGCAGGTCTTTGGTCTCAAAGGAAGAAAATGAGTTGCATGTAAGACTAAGCATCTGTATTTTTGGTAGCTGTAAGATGGGCTGAATGTCAGCAATCTGATAAATTTTATTGTCTGACAAATCCAAAGTTTGTAAGCTTGTCAGGAACTGGAAGGCGGCCTCATGAATAAGCTCAATACGGTTCAAACTAAGGTAAAGCTCAGTGAGGTTGGACAGGCCCTGAAACATTTTGCTAGTCAGGTTGGTCAGAAAATTATTTGCCACATCAAGTTTCTTCAGCAAAACTAAATTGGCAAATGATCCATCATCGACATGAGAAATTTTATTGTTTAACAGAACCAGAGTTTTCAATTTCAAGACGTGACAAAAATCATCTGTGTTAATTTTTTCAAGCAAGTTGCCATTTAGATATAATGAAACAGTGTTTTTGGGGAGGTCATTGGGCACAGTCAGAAGACCTCTGGATATACAGTTCAAAGAAACATCAGCAGATAATTCCTCCTGATATTCTACAGTGCAGTTTTTGAGTGAATAAGAAAGTGAGGAGTTAACAGGAAGCAGGAGACAGAGAAGCTTCAGAATGAAGTGTGCAGAAAACCTTCCCATAGTGGCAAAGATATTGTGAAGTTATTAATGTTGTCCAAGTGTGATCATCTGCAGAAGACACAAAATGAAGAAACATTTTATTATTATTTATTACTGCTTTAAATATTTAAATTCACTTCCTAATTTTAGAAAACACAGTTCACTGTTATGCTTGTTAGGGTTTCGAGACTCAGTTAACAATAACTTTTGTTCCCTATTATTCAGTACTAGTGGTGTTAATCTAAAATGTTTGCTGTCCCCAGTGTAAAAAGATAGTTACTTAAAAGAAATAAGTATGAACACAGCAGTCAAATATAGTCAAAACATGTAAATTTATTGCAAAATAAAAACAAAACAAAAAACCTTCTAAATGACTTTGATTCCTTATTTTCTTACATAAAATGATCTTAGCCTAAAACTTTTGCATGAGAAGCAGCTGGTGATAAGCATTCCTTCAAAGAATGACAAATCTTTATTCCATTAGTTTTATTTAGTTTTTACTTTACAAAAAGGAAAATGTCTTACAAAAATGTATGTTTCCTTAAGATGTGTTTATTTTTAAGTTATTATACGGAAGCATTAAGTTACAGACAAATAAACATTTAGATACTCACAGCTGATGATCACATCTTCATATTGTGTCGGATCGTGTTCAAAAGCAGACTGAGACGTTACTTCTCCTTTTTATTTCTCCTGAGAACACACAAAAAAAAAGGTGTGAGTGTTGTGAGCTGCAGATTTATCACTGGAATTGGGGATGTTAAAAAGGTTAGTGTGTTGAACTGGTTTTTGTTGTCCATTTGGCACAAGTTTGAGTAATAAACACAATTTAAATGCACACTAATAAAGGAGAAGAAAATATAAAATCATTAAAGATGAGTCTCAAAGTGTTTAGGGTCATTCAGGTTATCCAAGTCAGTTTCAATAAGTTTTGTGCCTCTCTATTCAGTATTAAAGTTGTTATTCTAAAATCTTTGATGTCCCCAGTGTGAAAAGATAATGTATACCAAAAAAAAAAGAAAAAGAAAGAAGTGTTAACAGAACATTCACAGTTGATCACAATATATCACATAAATAAAAATA